AACAGATGACAGTTGAAAGAGTAGGATGCACACTATTTTAAAAGAGTTTCTAGGGAAACCAAAGACGGGGGTGGAGGAACAAAAGCAAGAATACTGGAGGAAATTGAAGCCTCCGACACCTATAGTTACAGCAAACGTTAAACATAGCCTAACTTAACCAGATTAACATAAAACTCCACACTAACAACCTGATTACTTCAGTTCCTATACATTTCTCCAGATACATTATGTCTGGTTTTCAGCAAAACATAATGCATGCTAAAAGGCAAGAAAAACTTAGGCTGAAAAGACAAAGCAAGCATTAGAACCAGACACAGACACAGATTTGGGAATTAATCAGGGAATTAACTGGCATAGTAGCATGTACTGCTAGAAGAGGATTTCAGTTTGGAAGATCCTTCCTATTTAGGGCAAAACCTGACTCTTTTCATGGCAGTTGCCAGAACCATAGCAAGGTCCTCAGCTGAGCAGGAGTCTGAGGGTAAAGATGAAGATCCTGGGAGCAGAGCAGGAGCTGTGGAAGAGGTCTGGAGATGCAACCTGGGCCAAGTAAGGGGGTGCTCACAGGCTTATCCCAGTAGCCTGGAACCTGGGCTGCTTTCTGCCACAGATGTGCAATTTACAAGTAGCAGGGCGTTTGCAACCACCTGCCCCAGGCGAGAGCCACAGGATGGGCACTTGGCAAAGTAAGGGGTCTAGGTGAAAGTCCTTGTGGGTGTGAATGATGAAGAATTTGCCAGGAAAACAAACCCTGTAACCTGGATCACATCACAAAGTTCAATTCCTGGATTCTGCATACAGCCACCGCCTACTTTTTGCCATCTGGAACACACGGCCCCTCCCACCACTCTGAGTACCTTTTTTTTTCTTTCTTTTATTAGGAGAGAGTGCACAGGCATGCTCACAAGAGGGGCAGAGGAAGAGGGAGAGAGCCTGCCATGGGGCTTGACACTGGGCTTGATCCCATGATCTTGAGATCATGACCTGAGCCAAAATCAAGAGCCAGACACTGAACTGACTGAGCCACCCACCTGCCCCACTCTCAGTACTCCTGACCGATCACTACATGTGAATTGCCAATGAGCACTTAGGATGAAAATATTAACAATAACCAGGCCCTTCCCTAAATGAAATGCAACCGGTTTGCATATCTTTCAGCTCCGAGCCAAAATCAAAGCCTCTGGGTGATAGGTTTAGTGGGCACTGTGAATGGGGCACACATCATTTCAGAGGGTTGCAGAAAGGTTGAGTGGGTAGAAGGGCATTGGACCTGGGAGGAGGGGGCTGGAGGGATAGATCACAGAACCAGGCCTTAGTTCCTGCCCTGCCAGTGACTTGCTAGGGGACCTAAGGGAGTCACTTCTGCTCTCTGTGCTTCAGTTTCCTCATCTGTCCAAGTCTTAGTCATTGTCTTCTGGCCATCTCCAGTGAAGATCAGAAAAATACTGCTAAAACATATTGGAAGTAATAAGGTCAGTAGCTTAATGTTGCTGACTAATAAGTAATGAGTAAAATATTATATTTTAATGTTTATTTATTTATTTTGAGAGAGTGGGAGAGGGACAGAGAGGGAAAGAGAATCCCAAGCAGACTCCACACTGTCAGTGCAGAGCCCAACATGGGGCTCGATCTCATGAAAGTGGGGTCATGACTTGAGCCAAAATCAAGAGTTGGACGCCCAATTGATTGAGCCACCCAGGAGCCCCTAAAATATTCTGAACAATAAATGAAATAATAATGCTCATGGTTTACTGTTTTGTCCGAATTTATTGCTCTGTCTGAATTTAGAGGTTTAGATCAGGCAAGTTGTTATCAGATTGACAAAATTCATATTTGGGTCATTGCCCATGAAATGTGTCAGCACCTAGTGGACTCGAAGCCCTCTGTTTGATATTGGGGATCCTGAGTTTCTGCCCGGTGAAACATACCTTGATACAAGGCAAATTTTCAATGTACAGACTCCTCAAACGGCAACCAAGTAACCACAGGAATAAAAGGAAACCAAGAAATGAAGTGGCCATCTCTGTAGGGAAGGTCTACATAACTTGTCTATTTAATCATGACTAAGCTCATTCGAGAACATGTCCCTCAGAATAGTTGCTGCTTCGATGGAGGGCATAGAAAAGAAGCTTGGAAAAAAACATTTTTGTGAGATAAAAATCAGAAAAACACCCCACAGTTAATTCAACTCCAGAGTATTGGGTTCAGTGAGAGTGAACATAGTAGGTTCCTGTACTCAAGACAAATGTCTGTTCAGAGTTAAAACAGGAACTGGAAATCCTTATGGCAAATGAAACTCAAATTAAAATTTTTATGTTTATTTTTGAGAGAGCATGAGCAGCGGAGGGGCAGACACACAATCCAAGCAGGCTCCAGGCTCTGAGTGGTCAGCACAGAGCCTGACGTGGGGCTCGAACTCACGAGCTATGAGCTCATGACCTAAACTGAAGTCGGATGCTTAACTGAGCCACCTAGCGCCCCTGGAATTCAAATTTTTAGAGAGGTACAAGCACGTGTCATGGATACAGAGGAAAACGAGCAATTAACATGGGAGACAGATGGGACGCAGTGAAGAATTTACCGAGGATGTTGCATCGAGTAAAGCCCTGCAGGGTTAGTATTACGGCAGATAGAGGAGGAAAGGGACTGGGAGAGCCATCTAGTCAAGGCTCAGTGGCATGAACATGCATGGCGTATGGGGAAATGCAGTGGGAGATGAAGCTGGAAAGATAGACTGTGTGGAAAGGTGGACAGGGCCCCATCTAAGATAACACGTGAAGTGCCTGGGACACAAGATTTAAGGAGGCATTCACTTTCAGAGGCAGACAAGTGCAGGATTGGCACAGTGACTATGGCCATTAAGTAGAGGATCGATTTCACCATCTCCCATATAAGCATTGCCAACAATAGCTAAACAGAGCACAAATGTCCATTGACTGATCAAAAGATAAAGAAGATATGGTGTGTGTAAAGAATGAAATCTTGCCATTTGCAGCAATGTGGCTGGAGGTAGAATGTGAAATAAGTCAACCAGAGAAAGACAAATAACATGATTTAGCTTGTGGAATTTAAGAAACAAAACAGGTGAATGTGTGGTTGGGTGGGATGGGGGGGGGCCCCCCAGAAGAAAGGGAAACAAACTACAAGAGACTCCTGATAATAGAGAACAAACAGGGTTGATGGAGGGAGGTGGGTGAGAGATAGACTAGATGGGTGATGGGTATTAAAGAGGGCACTTGTGATGAGCACTGGATGTTGTGTGTAAGTGATGAGTCACTGAATTCTACTTCTGAAACCAATATTGTACTGTATGTTAACTAACTAAAATACAAAAATAAAAACAACAAAACCCCAAATCTTCCATATGAGGGACTTCTGCTTCTGGGAAGATGGAGTAGGTGTACTTTTATGCTTTCTACCAAGTGTGACTAAAAATCCTGGACGTTATGTATAAAACAAACACAAGGCCTTGACAGGTGGAGAGAAGAAAACAGACAAGTTAGGAAACTTGAAATCCAAGGAACATGGTGGTGAGCTCTCTGGGTTTTGTTACTGCCTCATATTTCCAGACTTGGAGATGAAGAAGCAGCAACCTGGGAACACCAATGGGTGCAGACAAAAACAAACACAAAAAACAAAAAAAAAATACAAAAACAAACAACAAGCCAACAAACCAAAAAAGCAAAACCCTGTTGTCTCTAGCCAAAGGACCAAAAAAAAAAAAAAAAAGGGAGTGGGGGAGCCTGACAAGACAGGGAGCCTGTATTCCAGCCAGATATCCCAGAAAAAAACTGTGGCTCACCCCCACCCCCCCTCCCCAGTAAAGACTTAGGCTAGACTTTCACTCTCACCAGGCTATAAAGTATTGTCTCAAATCACCCCTTCCTGCCAGACTAGTGTCAGAGAACACTGGGTGATAACACCCCCATCGTGGAGATCTTGGGAAGTGTGAACTTTTCGTTTTGACCCAGTGATAATGAGGCACCATTCCGCTTAATTGCTGGGGTAGTATCAGAGAAGGCTTACTGGAAATTCCGGACTTTCACCTCCTGAATAAGACCACCTCCACTGCGGTATCAGTGGAGACCAAAACATGAGGGGATTTTTCTGTGGTCTTCACAGATCTAGTTGATCTCCTTGAGGTAAAATTCATGAAAGTGGCTCCCCTCCCAGATGAAACTTGGGACCCCAAGAATTTGTTTCTTCCATGCTGGTCCTCATTCAGCCTCCAGCAATTTATCAATTACCATTTAAAAATTCCTATCAGTTGCTGACTCTAGCAGTGGCTTCTGCTTCTGAGAAGCTGTGATTCTCTATATTCACCAGTCTCTTCAGTTTTGGGGTGTCTATTTGCCCTGTGACTTCAATTCACTGGTTGACCTAGGAAGACATTATGATTATCAATTTGTTCAGCTTTTTTCTTATTTTGAGGATGGCAACTCCCAAGCTTTTTACATGTTGTGGTGGAACAGGAATTTCTGTGTTGATTTTTATTCATCCTTTTTTTTTTTTTTTTCTGTTCCTCAGACTGGATATTCTCAATTGACCTATCTTTGAGCTCACTGATTATTTCTTCTGCCTCCTCAGATCTGCTGTTAAGCTCTTTTCATGAATTTTTCTCAGTTACACTTTCCAACTCCGAAATTTCTGTTTGACTCTTTACTAATTTCTCTCTTTGTTGATACTCTCCATCACAGTCATTATTGTCATACTTTAGTTCTTTAGACATGGATTCCTTTGAAAATATTTAAAATAGTTGATTTATTTATTTATTTAAAAAAATTTTTTTTTCAACGTTTATTTATTTTTGGGACAGAGAGAGACAGAGCATGAACGGGGGAGGGGCAGAGAGAGAGGGAGACACAGAATCGGAAACAGGCTGCAGGCTCTGAGCCATCAGCCCATAGCCTGACGCGGGGCTCAAACCCACGGACCGCGAGATCGTGACCTGGCTGAAGTCAGACGCTTAACCGACCGCGCCACCCAGGCGCCCCTAAAATAGTTGATTTAAAACCTGTGTCTAGTAGGGCCAATGTCTGGGCTTCCTAAGGAAAGTTTTTTATTAATTACTTCACTTTTATCAGCCATACTTTTGTTTTTTCTTTCCTTCCTTCCTCCCTTCCTTTTTCTTTCTTTTCTTTTTTTCTTCTATCTCTTTTTTTTTTTTTTTTGCATGTCTTGTAGTCTCAATGAAAACTAGACATTTAAAATAATATAACATGGCAACTCTGGAAATCTGATTCTCCCTGCTATCCAGAGTTTGTTTTTGTTTGGTGACTTCTCAACAAATTCTATAAAATCTGTAATCTTTGTTGTATGTGGACACTGAAGTCTCTGTTGATTAGCTTAGTGATCAGCTAATGATTGGACAAAGATTACCTTAAATGCCTGGAACCAATTAAATCCACTAGTCTTTCATGAGGGGCTCTGTGTGCATGTTGGGGCATGCCTTTGACAATCAGCCAAGCAATTGAAAACTCTGCCATAGCCTTCACTTTTTGCTTGGAAAAAGCCTCAAGGTCAGTCAGAGGTGAATGCTTAGGGCCATCTCATGTCTTTCTTGAGTATGCTCACAGCCTTAGACATGCACACAACCCTATACCTGTGCATGGCTTAGAGTCCCAGGAATATATCAGAGCTTTTCAAAACTCCTATGGACATCTAATTTACCAACTTTTCCTTTAAGCTGTTTGGCTACTCTGTGATTTGCCCCGGATGTTATCCACCTACCTCAGGCAGCCAGGAAATTAAAACTATTGTCTGTAATTGTTTTTGCCAAAATCCCCTTAGAAGAAGACTTTTTGCACTGGGTGAACTCTTACGTTATGTCAAATAACAGACAGATAGCTTTGAAAGTGAGGATTTTCAGGTAACCAGCACACAGGTCAAATAATGACAGTTCTTTGGGAATAAGGCTTTGATAGAGCTTTACCTCTATTTTCCCTTTGGTGGCTGCATTGGAGCCTGGGCAGTTATTTTCAAGGTTGCCATGGAGCTGGAGAGTGAAGGATGGAACAATGCCGTAAACCTTGCTGTTTATACTAAGATTCAGTTCTTCTTAAATAAATGTTTCCTGAGCTGCACCAAGCTTTTAATTTTCAGAGTCTGAAAAAGTCAGTTTTTCTGCTAGATTCCTCATTGCTTTCAGAGAGGAAAGAATTTTCAGAGGTCTTATGCCACTGCGTTTGTTGATAACTCCCCTGCTGTTTGTGATTCCACCCAGGGTTTGGACAAAGCAACAAGGAATAACCCTTCATAGTTAAAATAGTTTCCTCATTTAATTGAATGAGCTTTGTTAGGTGTGAGTACTTCAAAATAATAGAATCCTGATTTATAACAGGCATCCTATTCAAATTACTTTTTGAAATCTTTTTGCCTTAGCCAAGAAGTATAATGTCCCAAAGTCTGTTAACCTATATCTGAGTCCTGTAGAATGACTACAACTATTATTCTATTGTGTTGCCACAACATAAAGTCTACCCAGTCTTCTATAATTGAACTTTTAAATATATGAGTATTTTTAGATATTAGACTCTCCACACTACCACACTACTGTCATTTTACTTTATTGAAATCCCAGATTTGCTTTTGATTAATGGTCAAGCCCTAAAAGGTTCTCTGAGGGAAGAAAACTTAAAAAGGTGAGACTGAGAGTAAATTATTTAGAATAGGATTTGGTCATTCGTCTTGCTGTTGGTCCTAACATATATCTGAACATGGAATGGAATTCAGAACTCTCTGAAAGGGAGTTGGTGTCTGAAGTGTTGATGTCACACAGCCCATGTATGGCCTGACAGGCATAGAAGTTGGAGCTGGACATTGGCTGTGCATTCTGCCAGCTCTCGTGGAGACTATGCATCTAAAAATAAGCTCTTCAAACTTCGTATCTTAATTACTCCTAACGGGATAATTAGAACTTTCTTTCTCAAATTAAAAGTTTGAGAAATTCCTGATAAGATGTACTGTTCCCTAAAGTTTATATTAATTGTAATTTTGTTTTACTGCCGGTGTTCATCGAGCATGGAAGAGTTAGAAAATAGTAAGTATGGGGGCGCCTGGGTGGCTCAGTCGGTTAAGCATCCAACTTCGCTCAGGTCATGATCTCGTGGTCTGTGAGTTTGAGCCCCGAGTCGGGCTCTGTGCTGACAGCTCAGAGCCTGGAGCCTGCTTTGGATTCTGTGTCCCCGCCTCTCTCTGCCACTCCCCCACTCATGCTCTGTCTCATTCTGTCTCTCAAAAGTAAATAAATGTTTAAAAAAATTTTTTTTAAAGAAAAAAATAGTAAGTATGTTTTGGCAGTTGGATTGTTTATTCTTCAGTCCTTCTTCACTTTCCCCCAGTTTCAGGGAATAAGGTTAAACAAATTGCGTATTCCAGAAAAACTGGATTTCCTGGGAGGATTTAGAAGGAAAAATGGCAGTTGTCAGTGGAAGAATAGAAAACTGTTTTCCTGAAACATGTATCACTTACAAAATGGATTTGTATATGATCAGCATTGTTGAACATAACCTTTTTAAAAAGTCATCCCCTTAATCGTTCCCATAGATTTTTTAGCTTGATATTGAGTGAGGACTTAATTCTGAATCTGAAAATGAATATATCTCAGGAAATCCAGGTATTTGGGACTAAAACCATTTGTATAGCTGCGCATTACTTCCTGTGAAAGGAAGAATGGGACTCTTCCACGTTCTTCTTTCTTTCTGGATTTTGTATTTCAGTCTCCTCTCTTCAAACATAAACCCTTTCCCCCTCTCTGGGCCAGCGTAGGGTCCTAGGCTTTCTGGGAAGACTCATTTTGCATAAGGATCCATGGTTTGGGTTTCATTCTTTTTCCACTAGAGGAAGCTGCTGAGGTCGCTAGGTGGGTGTGTGGGGAGGGAGGCCACATTCACTGCTTGCCTTCACTTCTCTGCCTAGATAAGTCTACTAAAGTCAACACAATAATTATGTTCAGCATTGCTGGCGGTATCCTGGTGGCCATGCTTGTGCTGATGGCTGTTGTCATCTGTCTTTACTACAAAGTAGCCAACGCATTGAAGTGAGTGATGTGGGTAAGAATGAAAAATACCCCCTCAAATAGGATACCTGGGGCTCTCTGCTTGAGCAAGGTCATTCCTTGCCCTGTGGCCCCACCCTGGGTGGGGCCAGGAAGGGCAAGTGGGTTGGAAAAGGCAAAGGCAGGTGAGTGTAGAACCTTGGTTTTTTTCCCCTTCTGGCTTAGGGCTGTGAGCTCATAAGTAGAATGTTCTCGGCTGGGTGGCTGGGTGCTGCTTTGCTTCACCTACCCTCACTGAGTTCCCTCTTCCCGATCACGCTCTGCACTTGATGGGCCTGTAGCGGTCCGCTGGGGGATCCACGCTTGTAGTTCACTCTCCCTTATTTGCTGCAACCTGATTTTACATTTCTAACAATCCTAGGAGAGGAGGGGGTTAGACAGGAACTTGGGACAGGGCCAGAGAACTCTAGTTTGGGGCTGGTGTCATGTATTTAATTGGCTCCAGCCCTAAACTTCCCAGGTACCCCCGATAATTGTGACAAATGGATGGAAAAGAAAAATTCTAATCCTACACTTTACGTATGTCTTTTCTTAAGATGTTCAAAGGCACCTCTTTGTTTGGCCTTAAAAAATTCACCCCTGGACAAGGTCGCGGCCGCAGCCATCACTGCTGGGTCTTATCCCAACCTCCAGTGCTGTGACGAATGTAGCTTGTATGCCGACTTTGATTCCCTGCCACCATGCTTCTGTGATGTAAACGAGGGACTCTGACTTGGGTGGGCACAAAAATCTTCATGCGCAGTCTTTCTTTCTTAGTAGAATGTTTTATTATTCAAGTCAAGTTTTATAATGTTTACATTATGTATTATGTAACATATTTATGTAGTTTTGAATAAATGCAATATTGAAAATAATTCTTTGCCTCTGGTGTTTGTTGTTGTTTGTTATAAATGCACTTAGGGACCCCTGGGTGGCTCAGTTGGTTAAGGTCCGACTTCAGCTCAGGTCATGATCTCACACTTCCTGAGTTCGAGCCCTGCATTCAGCTCTGTGCTGACAGCTCAGAGCCTGGAGCCTGCTTCGGATTCCGTGTCTTTCTCTCCCTCTGCCCTCCCCTGCTTGTGCTATCTCTCAAAAGTAAATAAACATTAAAAAAAAATAATAATAAATGCACTTAAATTTGTGTACTAGCCACTTGGTGACTTGGGGCAACTATCTTGTAGTATTATATTGCAATATAAAGAGAAGTTATCTCCAATGCCCAGAAGAAAAATATATATTGATCTTAGAGCGTTTCCAGTTTCCGACTCAGCAGAAATTCCCAGCTGGAGGAGCTCATTTGGCTCTTCTCCTCCCGAGAGTTTCACCCACTCTCATCTTGCTCCTCTCCTGCACAGTTCTGTCACGCTGTCCTGAAGGAAGACAACTGTCATCTTGGAGAGAGTGGGAACAAAGCGATGGGACATGTCTGGGTTTAGGTTAGCTTATCTGTGTAATGATGGGGTGGAGCCCAATGGCACCTAAAAGACATTTCAGAAAACCCGAGATTCTCCCTCTGGCATTCTCCAAGCAAATCTTCAGAAGCAGATTCCCTCCCTTCCAGATCCCTTTAACACGGAGTCTTGCTAATTCAGCTGGCAGTGCCTGTAACTGCTGAGCGGAACCCCCAGCTGAGTTGGAGAGGCCAGGATTCTCTTGGTCTCAGCAGTAGGACATACTCCTCTCCACTCCTGTTCATCAGCTCCCCTCTGTTCCTGATCTTTCCCCTGTCTAGACCCCTTTTTACTCACAGACTGTCCATCTGAAACTACATTTTGTACTTGTTAACAAAACCCTGGCTTTGGGAGCAGAGCACTCTCTCCAGAGGGCTTGGCTGATGAGGCCATTTCCGCACTCCAGTGGCGGAGTGTTTGCCAGAAGGGATGTGGGAGCTGAGGCTGCTCTCATTGGAATGGCCATGAAAATCCCTGCAGGCTTCAGGATGAGTTTCAGGAGGCACATTCAAGGCTGCATCTTCCCTGTATCTTGCCCTGAGACTTCCCATCTGGAAATGACCTGTCCCTCTTGAGTTCCTGAAGCACTTTCTCTGCCTCTGTCTGGCGTCTCCTGTTCAGGCCTGGTGTTTGGTGTTCACTTGCACTTCGATTTTCTCGTCGCTGGCAAGCTCCTGAGCCCATCCCATTTCCTTCTGAACCTCACCCAACGGGCAGCGCAGTGCCCAGAACCCTGGAGGCCCTGTGCAAGCACGTTCTGTACAGGAATTCCTTGGGAATACATCTGAAGTTCAGGCATCTCAGGGTCCACGAAGGAGGCAGGATGGGGCAAGGGCTCCTGGGACACCCGTCTGGTAGGCAGTAGGGACAGAGCGTACCCTGTGGGCTTCAGAGCTAGATACACTCGGTTCAAATCCAACTCTGCCTTTCAATAGCCATGGGCCATTGGGGAAGTTTCTTAACCTCTCTGAGCCTCGGTTTCCGTGATGTCAATTGAGGGCTTGCAGAGGTGATAGTGAGGATTAAGCAAAATAAGGTATACCAACCCCACAGGCCCTGGAATCCTGGGATCTCATGGTATTGCCAGTGGCCTGAACTGCTCGTCTCCTGATTGCTGACCCAGGGCTCCTTCCCCTCTGTCAGCCCCCTCTCAGAAGAGTGACCATGGAGCTCTCACACCCAGTGGTGTTGGTTCAGGGAGCTAGGAGATCACGTCCATAGGAGACAGGGGGATGGTGTTAGTAAGAAAGTAGGGGTAGGAGTGGGGATCTGTGCACAGCAGAGGGTAAGGGGTCCTTAGTGATCAGAAAGGTACCTACCCTATACTGATGCCCCCTGCTCTCACATCAGGATATCCAGTCCCTACCTGGTATGTGGCTGGCCCCAGAATTCTCTGAGCTGACAGGAACTGAGTGGGGCTGTGCCAGGGACCTTGGTGAGTGTCCAAGCTCCTTACTGAGCACAACTTGGTAATGTCACAGGTGCTGGCCTTGCTGCTGTGGCACTGGTATGAAGCCAGATGCCTGGTCCAGGGGCCTAACTAGGAATGGAACCCCTGGGTCACAGTCTAGTCCTGTGCCCTGCCCAGGAACCCCAGTGTCCTAGAGCCAAGCAAGGGTCTCTGGGCTGCAGGACAGTGAGAACAACATGGAAAGTTGAGAGCACCTGGGAAGGGTTTCAAGCTATAAGTTCAGTCTGTATCCACCATAACCTCCACAGAACTGCTGGTCATCGTTTTCCTGCTCAAAAAAGTTTCATCTGAACTTAGAATCAAATCCAAATGCCTCATCTGACCTACACATCCTTCATTATTGGACCATTACCTGCCTCACCTTAACTTACATTCTACTCCCCTCCCCTTTACTCACCTCTGCCACACTGGCCTGCCTTCCCTATTATGTAGACATGCCCAACTGATTCCCGCCCCGGGGCCTTTGCACTTGCCCATTGTTTTGCCTAAAATGCATCCCTTAAGCCCACATGACACATAAGTGCCTCTGTCTTTCTGTGTTTGCTCACATTTCATCTTTCTCAATTGCACCCCAATATCGCATCCTCCCTGCACTCTATCCCATCACCCTGTTTCATTACGTTCATAGTACCTCTCACTATTTGTAATTTACTTTGTTTGTTGTCTGTCTCCTCCACTTAGAGAATAAGTTCCATGAGGGCAGGGACTGCGTTTCTCACGTTCAATTATGAATCCCCAGGTCCTAGAGCAGTAGCCAACAAATAATTGTTGAGTAAATGAATGAATGAAAACAGGGAAGACCCATATACAAGCTCCTTGTGAGCACAACTTCCTGATGTCACAGGCACTGGCCTTGCCACTGCAGCACCCATCTCACCTTGGACAACAGGATTCCTTTCTGTCATTTGTAAAACAGTGCCAAGGGGACTTTAATTCACCTGCTTCAGCCTCTCTGGACATAACGGTTTGAGTTCCTGAAGCCAAACCTGCACCTGTACTTTCTTTTTGCTCCCCACCCTGTACCAGCTCTTTCTCTCCCTCTGTGTCAGCACCCCGGCAGGTGTCAGAGTGACCTAGCTGGACCCACACTTTGCCCAGGTGCCACCCACCTCCCCCAGCTGATCCTTTGACTTCAATTGGAGGAGAAGAGTGGTGAAGGCTTACGATACCAGCAGTGCTACCTGCTTCATGATCTGAACAAATAACAGGGCGAAGGCTCAACTCTAACTCGGTGCCGTGATGAATTACTCAGTGCCTGCTGCGGGCCGGGGGCTGGAGATCCCCTGCGAGGAAGTTTTTAGCTGGGAACTTTCTGTAAGCTTTCCAGGAATGAGCCAGAGAGGGAACACTCAAGTTGGGGATTGCTGATAATACACCAGTCACACAGCTGCTCCATTCCCACATAAATTTAGTCCTTGGCTGGTCACACTGACACATTTCCCTGAAGGTGGCCAGAGGGCTCATGAAGCCAGCCGGTTATGAAACACCGAGAAGTATAAAAGCCTGCTAGCCCTCTGGGCTGTTTTTCCCCTGATAGAGATGGAGGCTGTGAGCAGGCTTGTCCCCTTGGCCCTTTTCATCGTGCCGTGTTTGGCAGAGTTCAACTGGACCCAGTCTGAAGGTAAGAAACTTGAACCAGTTCTTTTTTTCCCTAACAAAATAGGGAGACTTCCTTCCAAGAGGCCTCTGCCCAAAGTTTTGAAGTTTTAATTATCTAATGGCCGTGTTACAGAGAACACTTATTCATATGCTCTTGATGTGATTTCGAATTGGTACTAAGTTTTTTTTCAAGCCCATGTGACTATACGTAAAAATATTTTTTAAAAAATCACAAAGAATTTTACCAGGTAATTTTACTACTGAGAAGTAAATACCTCGGAAATAATTATAAAAGTGCACACACACACACACACAAACCACACGGCGCATTTACCCAATTGTAAAAAGCAATGTGAATGTCCCTCATTCATTCTGTAAGTTGTAGATCCACACAAAGGTACGTACTTCGGCAGTTTCTTACAAGTAAGACTGAGCTAGAAGAAAGGTGCCCAGGATCTACCTTAAGAGAGAGAGAGAGAGAGAAAAAAAACTACCTGAAATTTGTGTAATATGATGTTATGTTTAAAATACATACACTTGAGCATTTTTAAAATTTTTTTTTTCAACGTTTATTTATTTTTGGGACAGAGAGAGACAGAGCATGAACGGGGGAGGGGCAGAGAGAGAGGGAGACACAGAATCGGAAACAGGCTCCAGGCTCTGAGCCATCAGCCCAGAGCCCGACGCGGGGCTCGAACTCGCGGACCGTGACATTGTGACCTGGCTGACGTCGGACGCTTAACCGACTGCGCCACCCAGGCACCCCACTTGAGCATTTTTAAAGATCAGGAAGTAGGAAAGGAAAGGTTCTGAAGTATTTACAAGAAGTTTTTAATGGTCATTTTTTTCCTGGATGGGTGGGATTATACACTTTTTTTCTTGGCTTTCTGATTTTTTTTTACTAATAAACATAATAGTAGTTATTGTTGGGGGAAAAAGAAATAAGAGACTACTGTTATAAGGACATAGCTCATCGGTCATAGATAAAAAGAAAATGAGAAGCTCTTGGTTTCTGAGTGGAGTTTTGAACCCTTAGTTGGGTTCCATTCTGAAGTATTTGATTTTTTTATTCACATTCTGTTAGAGTTGCCGCTGCAGCTCCTCCCTTCCTTTCTCCTCTTCCTTCTCTTTAGTAACAGCTTTATTAGGATATAAGCCACATACCATAAAATCCACTCTTCTAAAATGTAAAATTTACCGATTTCTAGTATAGGCACAGAATTGTGCCACTATGACTACTTTCTAATTTGAGAACATTTTCATCACCTCAGAAAGAAACTCTGCACCCATTGGCTGTTTTTTCCAGTGCTCTCAGCCCAAGACAACCACCAGTCTACTTTCTGTCTCTATA